AGATGCATTTGATTGGTACTCTGTAAGATTAATTTTTGGTGACCTCAATTCTAGTTTGTTAGATTATGGGATGTCATATGTATGTATGTAGAGGCATATGAATATATGCATGGTTCTTGTGGTGTGCTGGACAGTGTCGTTACGGGCCTCACGGCTATTGATTTTGATTGATCCAGGATGGAGGAGTGTCAATTTTGAAGTTTGACCAAGCTAAGGGTAAGCATGGAGGAACTCTTTCTCGGCCTGCTTCTGTTCAACGTGCTCTATCCATTCTTGAGATGGAAGTTGAACAAATAAACAAAGGAAAATATGAGCATTATATGCAGAAGGAAATTCATGAGCAACCCGAATCTCTTACGACGACAATGCGAGGGAGGCTTATACGTGGAGGGTTGTGCAAAGCCAAGACTGTACTTTTGGGAGGGCTTAAGGACCACCTCAAAACCATAAGGAGAAGCAGAAGAATTGTTTTTATTGGCTGTGGCACAAGTTATAATGCAGCTTTAGCTTCAAGACCCATTTTGGAAGAACTATCTGGTGAGTGTTTGTTGTTGGCAATATAAGCACACTTGTGAAAATTTCAACCACTGATATTTCACTAATTTAACAATATGACATAGGTATTCCTGTGGCAATGGAAATTGCTAGTGATCTGCTGGATAGGCAGGGGCCTATATACAGAGAAGATACAGCTGTCTTTGTTAGTCAATCAGGCGAAACTGCTGATACTTTACATGCATTAGAGTATGCCTTAGAAAATGGTGCATTGTGTGTTGGTATCACGAACACTGTTGGCAGTGCAATTGCTAGGAACACCCACTGCGGTGTTCATATAAATGCAGGCGCTGAAATAGGTGTTGCAAGCACCAAGGTGAGCGAATTGCAAATTACCTCCTCTTCCCCTCTCTTTAACAGTGGCTCTTCCATGGTTTCAGTCTTATTAGGTAATTAAATTCATTGACAGGCATACACAAGTCAAATTGTGGTGATGACTATGTTAGCCCTTGCAATTGGAGGTGACTCAATTTCTAGTCAAGAAAGAAGGGAAGCAGTAATAGATGGTCTATTTGATTTGCCAAGTATGTCTTTTTTTGTTTGCTGCTTCTACCAATTACTAGAATGGAGTTGTTTTTGTGCTTACATATACATATTCATATTCATATTCTATGCCATTACTTGGGTATTGGATCTAGTGTCTTTTGTCTGTTACATATATTTTAAAAATATTGCAGGTAAAGTGAAAGAAGTTTTCAAGCTTAACCAGGAAATGAAAGATCTTGCAAAATTACTAATTTCTGAGCAATCACTTCTTGTTTTTGGAAGAGGATATAACTATGCAACAGCTTTGGAAGGTGCCTTGAAGGTAAAAGAAGTGGCACTTATGCACAGTGAAGGAATACTTGCTGGTGAAATGAAGCATGGTCCGTTGGCTTTAGTAGATGAAACTCTCCCAATTTTCGTTATTGCTACCCGTGATGCTTGTTTCTCGTAAGTCTTTTCCTATGTAAAACTTCGTCTCATAATCTTTAATGTCATCTTCTAACATTTCTAGTCGTGGACAGCAAACAGCAGTCAGTTATTCAGCAACTTCATGCTCGGAAAGGTCGACTTATAGTTATGTGCACAAAAGGGGATGCGGCATCTGTATGCGTTGGTGGATCCTGCCGTGTCATTGAAGTTCCTCAGGCCGAGGATTGTCTGCAGCCTGTAATTAACATAGTTCCGTTGCAGGTAAAGTAGTTACTTCTTTTACTACAAATACTTCAATATCGTAGCTGGAACTATGTACACACACACACACACACACACACACACACATGCAAATCTATTTATGCCTTTATGGTACAATATAAATACTTCAAAACTTATTATAAAAATGAATGTGCACCTTTACATCACTTTCTTTCTAGAATGCCTGGAACCGATTAATGCAAGAATAATAAGATTAATACTTGAACTTGAGCTTTATGTTCACCATGTTGACTCATATAATTTGTACAATAAGATAATTGTTGGCGTTGAATTTAGGTCTTGAATATGCAGTTTCTGTTTGAGCGAGAACCGGAGATATAGAATGAGAGTATTGATGTTTGATCCTCGAAGATAAAATGGTGTGCTTAGGTCATATATCAAATTGAGTTTATTATACGGTCTTTGAGAATAAATATCCAGTGTCATAATGATGGCAGACCAAAAAGTTCTAAAAATCTCTCTTGGTTAAGGAAATGGTTTCATGGTTAAAGGCTGGAGTATTAGGTTCATTGTTATGAGATTGAATGTTCAGTTCCTTAGTGAGGACCATATATTTAAAGCTCCAATTCAAGGCTACTCATAGTTTAAGCAACAAATTCTGAATTTCCTCCATTTTTCCTGGAGCATGATGAGTTTGTAATTTCCCTTTTGAGTGGATTGTGTATAGCTTTTGATAATTGAAAATTTCCTCATATTTTTACACATGGCCATGTTAAGTCTGTTAAGTTCAAGCAAGATCTAATGCTAACTGATCTTATCTTTATAAATCTCTGCAGCTATTGGCTTATCATCTCACCGTTCTAAGGGGACACAATGTTGATCAACCTCGGAATCTTGCAAAGAGCGTAACCACTCAATGAAGAATGCAATTTTTTCTTTTTACTTTTCATGATCAGTTTTGGAAATTCGTCTCAAGCTGCAGATATACCATCTGACCCTGAACCCGTTAATTTGCCATGTTTCCCTATGCTAATTCTTGTGACCTTATACAATGATCGATTACCTAGTAGATTCCTTTTTCATCTTGTTTCATCCAGATGATCGTGATTGTACCTCACTAGATTTCGGCTGCAAGCTTTGTGTAATGTACTCTCTCTTCGAAGTAGTAATGGAACGTTAGATTTTTGCTCTTTGGTTTCTTCCTTATTTTCTCTGAAAGCTGTATCCTTGGCTCATACCATCAATTTCAGCCTAGTTAGTTTTCTGTTTCGAGAATCAATTGCTCATAATGACAAATCGAACGCATTTTTAACAGATTTTTAAAACAGAGAACTGAAAACGAACTCAAAACTGAAATACAAACTATTATTTTGGAATTATGTAATTTGGAATAGTAGATTAATGGAGAATGTGTGGTTGAAAATGAGTAGAAGAATGATAATAAAATTTTTAATGTGGTTCGAACAGTGGCTAAATGAATCATAAGTTTTTTATGTCTCATGCATATGTGTAAGTTATTACTTTATGACCAATCCACTTTTAAATATATAAGTGTGCCATTAAATTTTTTAGCCCCTATCTGTTTTGGATAAGAATAAGATTTAAATTTTGAGAAAAAATTGTTTAAAATGTCAGATTGAAAAATTGATAAAATTGTGAATTCCATAAATTATACGATTAAAAATGAATTTTAAAATATTAGGACCAACAGGGATCAATAGTTTTTTTCTTCAATATATTTAATAAGGACATTTTTAATTAATTCATTTTAACTCCATTTTCTTGGTCGAGATTTTGATGCTTGGGCGACCGTCGAATGAAGACGTGGAAAGGTTATTTCCGTCATTATGTTACACGTAGTTTTTACACATGGCCATGTTAAGTCTATTAAGTTCAAGCAAGATCTAATGCTAACTGATCTTATCTTTACAAATCTCTACAGCTATTGGCTTATCATCTCACCGTTCTAAGGGGACACAATGTTGATCAACCTCGGAATCTTGCAAAGAGTGTAACCACTCAATGAAGAATGCAATTTTTTCTTTTTACTTTTCATGCTCGGTTTTGGAAATTCGTCTCAAGCTGCAGATATACCATTGACCCTGAACCCGTTAATTTGCCATGTTTCCCTATGCTAATTCTTGTGACCTTATACAATGATCGATTACCTAGTCGATTCCTTTTTCATATTGTTTCATCCAGATGATCGTGATTGTACCTCACTAGATTTCGGCTACTTGCTTTGTGTAACGTACTCTCTCTTCGAAGTAGTAATGGAACATCAGATTTTTGCTCTTTGGTTTCTTGTTCCTTATTTTCTTTGAAAGCTGTATCCTTGGCTCATACCAACATTTTTAGCCTAGTTATTTTTCTGTTTCAAGAATCAATTGCTCATAATGACAAACCCAACGCATTTTAACATATTTTTAAAACAGAGAACTGAAAACGAACTCAAAACTGAACTAAAAACTATTATTTTGGAATAGTAGATTGATGGAGAATGTGTGACTGAAAATGAATAGAAGAATGATAATAACAATTTTATTGTGGTTTGAACAGTGGCTAAATGAATCATAAGTTTTTTATGTCTCATACATATGTGTAAGTTATTACTTTATGACCAATCCACTTTTAAATATATCAATGTACCATTAAATTTTTTAGCCCCTATCTGTTTTGGATAAGAATAAGATTTAAATTTTGAGAAAAAAGTTGTTTAAAATGTCAGATGGAAAAATTGATAAAATTGTGAATTCCATAAATTATACTATTAAAAATAAATTTGAAGGAAAATGAATTTTAAATATTTGGACCAACAAGGCTCAATAGTTTCTTTCTTCGATATATTTAATTAGGACATTTTTAATTAATTCATTTTAACTCCATTTTCTTGGTCGAGATTTTGATGCTTAGGCGACCGTCGAAGGAAGACGTGGAAAGGTCATTTCCGTCATTATGTTACACGTAGCACTCCAGACTGACGTGTCATCATTTCATTCGTTTCCTGACAAATCACAGACTGAAATTCCCAAAATAGCCCTCATCCCCACTATCCAACACCTCAAGAAAACAAGTGAAAAAATCGAAACATAAGCAACAGAAAATGAAAAACTGAAAGCAAAATAAATAAAAACCCCCTAGAGAGAGAAACACAAATACTCAATCTCTCCCTCTCCCTCTCTCTCTCTCGATCCAGTTTCAGTTCTTCCCTAAACCTAGATCTATACGTACAATTCTTCTATCTCTATAAGTCTGAATCTCCCTTTGTCTATCCCTCTATAGGTAGAGGATTGAATTTGCAGGGGGCGATGGCGTCGTGTATAAAGGTGGTGAACAGATCGGCCTCGGCTGCTTTCGCGCCGGAGGGACCCTACATGGCGGCGGGGACAATGGCCGGGGCGGTGGATCTGCAGTTCAGTTCCTCCGCAAATCTCGACATCTTTGAGCTTGACTTTGTGTCGGACGATCGTCAGCTGATTTTGGCTGGCACGGTCCCGAGCTCCGAGCGCTTCAATCGGATTTCCTGGGGAAAGGGTCCCGCCAACTCTGAGGAGTTTCCGCTTGGCCTCATTGCTGGTGGCCTGGTAGATGGCAACATTGGCCTTTGGAATCCCAACACTCTGATCTGGTGAATTTTGTCCCCGGATTCTCAGTGGTTTTTTTTTTCTGTGTGTACAATTGAATTTATTTTCGTTTTCTTATTCTTTTATTATTTGATGAGTGTTGGATGGGGTGATTTTGGATGTTAATTTTGTTTCATTAACAAAAATTTACAAATTCTAGTAATCTTATTTGGATCAACATTTTGATGAAACATGCTAATATATTTTTTTTGAATTTGAGTATCCATGGATTTGATAATTACCTCTTTTCTTTCCTGTTCTGTATCGAGAATGCAGGAAAACATAGCTTTTAGTGCAATTTATTATCGAATCATATGAAGCTGTATGATTCATATATTATCTCATATGCATAATGCATTTGATTTTTGTTACCTAAAAAAATTCAGCAATAGTGAAAATTTTAAATTTTGTGATTGGTGAACGGATCACTCTATGTCTACTGAATTGAACTGGAAATTCTGCAGCATTTTCTTTCAAGTAGAGTCTCAATGACATACATCATTTTGAACCAGAATTGTTTGTTCGAATTTTGAATTTGTGTTGCATGATGTAATCCTGTTATTCCATATTTTTTTGAATTTGTGCATCTTTTCTATCATATTTCCATCTCTCGTTAATTATTTTTGTATACTTTGAACACTGTAAGATAAGGTATTTGTTCTAGGACTGTTTAATGGCATGCAGAAGCTATTCTTTCTGAGCTGCCTTCCCCAACTTTAGAATTGTCACTTTTTTGTTTCTCTTACTTGTCTGTTGCTAGAATGTGCCTACTTCATTTTGTACACTACTTTGGTAATGCTTGGCATCCAGATTTTATTTGCCATTTCCCTATTGTAAGCCTCCAAAATTAGAATAGGAGATTTTTTTCTTTTTAAATTATTATCCTATGCACTGATTCTCTTCAAGAATTTTGCTGAAATCACAAATTTGGATTTTATATTGCACAACTTCTGATTATTCTGCTGCTGTTTTTAGATTTTCTTTGATAAGTCAGACTATTCTTGTTTCATAAGGTCTTAATTCCTTTTCTTGGTATGCTTCTCTTAGTTCTGAGACAAAAAAGGGTTCCGAGACAAGTGAAAGTGCTTTGGTTGGCCAACTTTCTAAACATAGAGGGCCTGTAAGTGTTTTTGTTGTTGTATTGTGCTTGCTTCATGCATTTTCTCTGTTTTTATTTATTTCCTGTTCGACGGGTGCTGGTAGAATGATATCTTTAACTTACGTCTCTCTTCAGGTTCGTGGATTGGAGTTTAATGTTCTTTCCCCAAACCTCCTTGCTTCTGGGGCTGATGAAGGTGAAATATATATATGGGATGTCGCAAAACCATCAGAACCAAGTCATTTTCCTCCTCTCAAGGTATGAAATAATGTACCTACGGAAATTTTTTATGAAGGTTATTATGTCAGTTATTACACATATGAAGTCTTCGTGCAGGAAACCTGTTTCCTCTGATTGAGTTTTTAAATTGACATAAATGCTAAATATATTTGAGAAGTGAACTAATGATGCCAACCACCATAGCTACCTACAGAGTTCCTTGCCAATCTGTGATCTCCACATCTAACATTTGTATGCACAATTCTTAAAGTCAAGTTCTTCCGGTTCATACTTACGTTGTAATTTGGGAGGGAAAATAATTGAGTAGAAGAGTTCAAAAGCTGTATTGTAAACTAGTAGTTGTCGCAGTGTGTTTGGCACTCCATCCACGCTATCAGTTTCTCCTACTCTGTTTTTTTTCCCCGTCTTTTTGGGGGAAGAGTGGGATGGGGTTTTGGAAGAAAATGATTATGTTTTATCTACACCATTAAAGAATGTTAACACCCTTGAAGATAGCTAGTGAAATTGGTTTACGGCTAAGCTGGTGTTTTATCATATTGTGGGTGCAATGACCGAGTTTAGTTATTACAACAATTACTATGTTAGCTTGGAATTCTAGTACTGTAAGAGTGTAAGTACATAATCACTTAGCATCAAAGTTAATTTTTTGTTATGTGAAGAGTTAATTATAAGGATAATGGGAAGTGTCATACTTTTCTCTTGACTTTTTTCCTGACAAAAGAACATTTCTTGCCGAGAAATGAAATATTTATATATGGGAGGACATGGGAGTAAGCAAAGAATAAAATGAGATTCCTGGGGTTTTTCAAGGGGAAATCCTACATTCGGGCTCCATTTTAGAACTTAGTGTTATCACTTATCACAGAGCCATGACATGCTTATCTTGGAGGCGCCTTCTCTACTTTTTCCTCTCAATATTTTTTACAGTTATTAAATCTCATAAATGCGGGATATGTAATTTCTACTCAACAAGAAGACATGGCTCAGGTCCAAATATATCTCAGTTAAATTGAAGTTACAATGAAACATGGTGGAAAGATAATACAAAACAGAAATAAAGTGACTTCTGTATCCTATTGCAACCTCTGCAAATTCATAGCCAAGTTCAACAAGTGTCCTGACTCCTGGTTGAGGGCTTCAACAATTTATTAACATGTCAATGTTAGAAACCCTTGGCTATTGACTTCACGATGCGTACAAGCACGCACTCAAAAGTATGAGAGAACCGGAAAAACAGTATGGCTCTTGCATTTTCTGATGTACTATAGTCTCTAAAATAAAGAATATATGCGATGTAAATGTATGAGCTGAAAAATCTTGCAAGACCTTGACTGTGAGATGTTCTATTTTCTTGCTCCTTTGAAATTAAATTACTATTTTGGGGAAACTGAAAATGAATTATCTGATTATAATAATTTTTCACGTGGAAACATTACAATAGGCTGGGGTATTGAAAAGTTGGGCATCAAAAGCTTGCTTACGCGTATCTATTTCGTCTCAAAAGGGGGTTCTCGATTTAGTCTGGAAGGAAGATTTATTAGCTTGACTGCAACTTTTTGGAGATAAGATGCAGTAACCTTGGGCTTATCTCTTTTGGTCATTAATCATTTTTTCCATGAAAAGATGAGGTGACAACACAATCAAATACTATTAATAGGTTTTTATAATTTGTAGTCAAGAAATTATTGCTAGTTCTGTTAGCATGGAGGAGCTTGTTGATTTGCGATCTTAAACTTATATTGCAAGTCAAGGATTGTTTTCCCCATGTGCTTGTCACTGTTGGAAGGAGATATGAAGTACAATGTACTCTTTTCGTGGTCACCTGTCACCCTTGATTATGTGTCAATGACGGTGTTACCTGTCCATATCTAAACGAATTTTTGATCTTAAAGGGAAACTGCTTATTCTCTAACCTTGTACTTTTGGACAAAATTTTCTCTGATATTTCATGTAATTGATGGACGAAACTCACGGAAGTCTCTTTTTGTAGGTTTGTAGTATCCCTGAGATTGGAATTCTAAACTATCTTTTCTCATCATTATCCTTCCATATTGAATAACCGACTGCTATTATTTTTCAGTACCCAATGAAAAAATGAAGGGAAGTATAAATAAGGGCATGCTATTTGTACATTGCCATTTGACTAGCAAAGTAAACGTGTTCTATTCGTTTATAAGCATGGGAATGCATTAATTTTTCCAAGGCTAATGAGGTTCAATTAACTAATGTTACTCTATGCTTGGATTTTCTTTTGATACTTAAATTTTGCATGCTGCATCTCTTCGTACGATTATACCTGCGACATCTACACGAGGAAACTCACTTAGCTGTTTTGTGCAGGGTAATGTATCAGCTACTCAAGGTGAAATTTCATTTTTGTCCTGGAATAGCAAGGTTCAGCATATACTGGCCTCCACTTCATTTAATGGAACAACCGGTAAGGATATTGTTCAGTAATATCTTATATGTTATTTACTTTACCTATTCACTTTTGTGTTAAAAATATTTCTCTGTAATTCCAGTTGTGTGGGATCTGAAGAAGCAAAAGCCAGTCATAAGGTAAACTGCTTGCCATCAAATGTTAGGCAATGAACTTACTAGATCTTTAAATACTGAGAACTATTCACCTCCTTTCTGAACTTAAATTTGCCAATTCACAGTTTCTCAGATCCAATTAAGAGGAGGTGCTCTGTCTTGCAGTGGAATCCTGACGTTGTTACTCAGCTCATTGTCGCTTCAGATGAAGACAGTTCTCCTTCTCTTAAGGTAATGAGTTTGTATTGATCATGGTTCAACGACTTGACACAATTTTGAATTTGCTCAACTCATTACCCTTGTAATTGGTTAATGCTTGTGTACAGCTCTGGGATATGCGGAATGTCATGTCTCCAGTGAAAGAGTTCGTAGGTCACACTAAAGGTATACTAGTAATTAATAATTCACTTTTTAAGATTCTCAAGCTGATTATGTAGTGTTTAGTTTTCCAGCTATGAAGCTTTCTCAAATTGATTACATCTTCTCCTATTTAAGTGGATTTTATCTTGCCTGTCTTTTTATGATCATCAAGTGATAGAAATCAAATATTGTTAGTGAGGGTTGTAATCTCCCTCTGGCATGCACATGTAGACAAACACGCTAACTCTCTCCCCCTTTCTCTCACCCACGCACATGAACAAAACACTACTCAGAGTTACAAACTTCGAGGGGTGGTATTGGAGGATCTCTCTCTATGTGATGTCCACTTTTGCCTTTACGAGCAACGAAGGAAGTGAAACTAAACTAGAGTTACGAAGCTTGTATTGTTGCTTGGTTCCTGTTTCTTTCACTTCCTCTTCCCTTGCGCCTGAAAAGTAAATAAAATAGAAAGACTACAGTCCTTGCTCATTGATCACGTTGTGATTTTCAGCAAATTATTTTGGACAAAATGAAATTTTCGTCCTAGATCTTTGGTTTCCATTGGTAATTGAGAACTCCTTGCCTTCCCCTCTTCTATGGGAAGAAATTTGGTCCAGTTTGCGTTGCCTGTCATATTCCTTTTCTCTCGGCCTCGTTGAAGTGTTATTGGGTGTTGTAGAAAGTGGAAGAAGATAGTTTTGAGTTGCCCAACATTGGGTTCATTTTTAAAAAAGAAAAAAGGAAGAATTTTTTATTCTCAGACAAATGAAGTAAGGGAAACTGAACTCATTAAAATCATAGGTCTGACTAATGTTTGTACATGGGTATCATCCAAAACTTTGGAACTCAGGAAAGCCCACCTAGTTACATTCTAGGATGAGAAGATCTAGACTAGTTTTAAGTTCTTGTAACAGGAAATTTATGTAAGTTGCCCTAGGTTATGCTATTATATGGTTGTAAATATTTTCAATCCTCGTAGAACTGAAATAAAATGCTAGTGTCTTTTTTTTTTTATTTAATCATCAGAAACGTATTTGTCCGGGGAACTTTTAATTCATTAGAGCAAATCCACCACAATCAGATTTTTTTGGGGTTCTAAATCAGGTAAAAAAACTATAAGTACATACCTTCAAGAATTACAAGTCAATTATGTGCTTTGTGAAAGGATGGGAATTGCTGAACATTTGAAGATATAGGCTACTTTTCAAAAACTTGATGCTGAATACTCTATGCACCATAAACATTTGTCGCATGAAATAGGGAGAATGATGAGGAGGGCTCATTTCATTTGCTGGTTTGGGTTTATTTTAAATAAAGAAGAGAAAACATCCTTTAGTGATTGGAAAGATTAATTGTAGAATATTGCAATGTTAAGTTTGTTGTTTTATTTGTTAAGACTGAATATACAACACTATGATTTATGTACAAAGGATTTCAAGTAGAGGAACAAATTTAAAGAGCCCGAAGACGATAATAATAATGATATGATATGTTTGTTCCTTATCTTCATTTTCACCATGCTCTTCCTTAGCGAACTGAACCAGAAGCTTGTAGCTGGTGGCATCTATCACATTTTCTTTCATTTGATTCTGTTTCGGTTGCTTGAAGTGTGAGTTGTATCTCCTTATATTTTTGGCATGTACAAGATTTTCATTTAAAGTTATTCTTATCATTTTATTCCATGGTTCAGTTTGGAGCCTGTAGGTGTATTGTTTTAAAGGCATTCATTAAATGCCTTTAGTACCAATGGCAAGGCGTACGCCTCAAGGCTAAGCTTCTGGGTGATTGATACTATTTGCTTTCCTTTCCAAGGCTTATCATTACTATCCTCAGCTTTTTATGCTATATGTTTTACACATCATTGCGAGTATAGGATAATGACAGAATGAGAGAAATTGGGCTATGAGGATGATGATAGGGGAACCAAATATCTTGATGATTCTCTTAAGGATACTACTATAATAGATGGTATTGGAGACTTCTAGGTTGTTTCTACTTCTAGTGGCAAGTTACAATTTTATTATGTGATTACTAATTTGAGAACTCATTGTTGCTACTCTGTTGATCTACTTTTATGTTTCCTTACATTTATTATATTGGCTTTTTTGGAGGCTTATGCCTTGAGGCTGTACGTAGTCTCACTTAGGTAAAAACACTTAGTACCCATTTGAACCTTTTTAAACATTAAGGTGTTCATTTCAACTTTGTATTTCTGTATCACTTGTATCAGGTGTGATTGCTATGTCATGGTGCCCCATAGACAGCTCCTACTTGCTTACTTGTGCCAAGGATAACCGCACCATTTGCTGGGACACTATATCTGGAGAGGTAAGTGAATTAGATTGCTAACTCTAATATTGAATTACATGTGTTCTTCTTTCATATAAAGTGTCCTTTTGTTTCTTCCCGCTGTTTATATTCAGCCTCCCTTCTCTATTACATTTTCTATTTTCTAATTTTTCTATATTACTTAATAAACATGGGGAAAGAGATGGAATGGAGTTGTCAGAGTTTTTGTGTAACAATGGCTTAACGTAAAACTTTGTGCAGATTGTTGCTGAATTGCCTGCTGGAACCAACTGGAATTTTGATGTACACTGGTATCCTAAGATTCCAGGGGTCATATCAGCATCGTCATTTGATGGGAAAATTGGCATTTATAATATTGAGGTTAGTTTGATAAAAATTACTATTCTGCTATAGGAGATACACCTTTGGCATGTGTAGTGCCATTAAATCTGCATCTTGCCTTAGATTTTAAGCTTGGTAAGCAAAATGCTTTGTATTGGTCATATGAGGTGAGAAAATCTCTGTAGTTGACTGCCTGTAATTAATTGGTGGTGATCATGCTTTTACAAGATGGAAGACATCATGTCATAACATGCAAAGTGATAAATTGTTTAGCTACTTGGTGGATGATTCTATTTCTGAGATAAATATTGCATAGACTGGTGATGATGTTAAGGCAGGGTATGGTAATTTCATTTCTTTTGCACGTCAACCTCAGGGTTCAGTTGATAAATTTCAATTTTCTTATGTTTCCTTTGCAGGGTTGTGATCGATACGGTGTTGGAGAGAGTGATTTTGGTGCAGGTATCATGTCTCTTACATGATAGAACGTTATGTTGTTCTAACTTTCTGTATGGAAAAATAGAATCTAGCCCCTACTTGACAACCATTATTTGAAAACATTTTTTTCTACATATTCGTTTACAACCACACATTCACGTAATAAAATATTATGCATGTAATCCAGAACTTTTTCCTATTTTCTAACCGCATTCTCCTAAAAATCACTATTCAAAACATTGTTTTTCCCAAATAATGGTTGTCTAACAGGGGCTTAATTTTGTTCTGGCACATAAGTCAATAGTATAAAAAATGAATTGATCAGTTGGTTGCATCTGTTTATGATATGCGGAAGTCAGTGTGCCTTAGCATTTCCAGCCCCAAAGACAACATTTTGGAAGTTGTGGTTCTGGTGATGAGCTCTAGACATGATCATATTTCAAATGTGGGGAATGAACTGCTCATAGTTAATTTATATCCTTCCAATCCTTTTATCTCATCTTTTCATTGAACATTTCCTATGTTTTGCAAGCGAAAGGTTTACGTTCTTGTGAAAGAATTTTCACGATCAAATCATATGTTCATCTCTTGAGAGAAAGATAAAGAATTCTGTGAGATAAATCATGTCCTAAACCGCAAAATTCTGTAAGATATTAAAGTATTACTGTTGACTTCCACATGATCAATAGCAATTAGCAATTGAGTATGTAGAATGGATCCAGCCAGACATAAACGTAGTTATATCGCGCACGACAGTTTTTCTTCCCTGGGCGTTAATTGTTTCAATTCAAATTGTGTGGGCATCAGAATATTCAAAAGAATGTGTTCAATTTGGAAAAATCAAATTAGCTAGAGATAGACTGGTCTAGAAGCAGGTGTCTAAAGGTGCACATATTTTGTGGGCAAACTTATTTTTCAGAAGAAAATTAATATCCTTGTCGCTGTTGTACGTACTACTGACCTTTGTTTTGTTTTGTTTTATTTTTCTCTACCATTTATCTGATTGGCTATTGTGTCACGTGGTGTTAGTTTCTGTTTGCACTTCTGTTATTTTAGGTGTTGGATTCTTCTCATACATGTTATATTCCTTGTAGCACTTTTGAGGGCGCCAAAATGGTACAAGCGAAAAGCAGGAGTCTCATTTGGTTTTGGAGGCAAGCTTGTTTCGTTTCACTCAGCTGAGTCGCCAACTGGATCATCAGAGGTACGTCCAATGTGACGTGGTTTAATATTTTATCATCCGATCACAATTTCCTGACCTTTTCATTTTTCTAGGTCTATATGCACAACTTAGTTACGGAACATGGGTTGGCAAGTCGATCTTCCGAATTTGAGGCTGCAATACAGAAAGGGGAGAGATCATCACTCATGAATTTGTGTGAAAAGAAATCTCAAGAGTCTGAGTATGCTTTCTATAACTTAGAACTATGTTATTACATTTGAGTTAGGTTTGGTCTATCTTGTTGCTTCCAATTTGCCTTTAACCCATTTTATGCTCAGATCTGAGGCTGAGAGAGAAACGTGGGGATTCATGAAGGTTATGTTTACTGATGATGGAACTGCGAGGTCAAAACTGCTTTCCCATCTTGGTTTCAATGCATCTGCTGAACAAAATGACACTGAATTGAATGACATCTCTGAGAAAATAAATAATCTTGCTCATGATGAAAATTCTACAAATAAAGGACTTTCTGGGAACAAAGAACCAACCATATTTGCTGACAATGGTGAAGATTTCTTTAACAATCTTCCCAGCCCCAAGGCAGATACACCTTTGTCAACTTCTCGAAATGAATTCGTCACCGACGAATTTGTTCCTGGTGTAAAAGAGTCCGAACCAGAATTTGATGGGCAGGAAGAGAATTCTGAACCTTCATTTGATGATGCTGTTCAACGTGCTTTGGTTGTCGGGGACTATAAGGGGGCAGTTGCACAATGCATTACTGCAAATAGAATGGCCGATGCTTTAGTTATTGCTCATGTTGGTGGTGTTCCCTTATGGGAGCGCACACGTGATCAATACCTCAAAACAAGTCGTTCTCCCTATCTGAAGGTGGTCAAAGTTCACCTTATTGTTGGATTGGAAATATGGGAACCTTTCTCCATTCCCTTCATGATGTCTCTGTGTTGATGTGTTGTTATATTCATCATCAATTCTCTGACATTTTTTATATTTTAGGTTGTTTCTGCAATGGTTAACAATGATCTGATGAGCTTAGTAAATACTAGGCATCTGAAATCATGGAAGGAAACACTTGCTCTCCTCTGCACAGTGAGTCTTTTTTTTTTAAAATCATGTTTCTTATTGTAGTCATTCATGGTCAATTTAGACTGAAGAAAATTCAGCTTGTACATGTTCTTAGAATTGTAATGCTCCCACTGTTATTTTATTTTGATTTGCTGAAGTCTTTGGTCCTCTTCAATCCATCTGCTTTTGCTAGTGACAAACAAGATTATTTTGGTTTTCAATTATTTCCAACCTCTTAATTCCATCTTGTATACTCAATCTTTTGCATAAACTACTTAAATTCTTAGTCATCAGGACAGAACTATTTGATTGATTTTATAATGCCAGCCTTTCGTAGTTGTCTATTATGCAGGCACTATACATGTGCATAATATATATAATGCATGCTTATGTTGAAATATGCACACGAGTACAATATAGAATCCCCATATCTGTCTTTGTAAAGGCTGTGGTGCCTATGCTTTATTAAAGTTTTAATGCAAAACAGACAATCTTCAGTGCTCACGTGCAATGTGGTGTGACTTTGTTATTCCTACATTTTATCAATTCAATTGCAGTTTATTTCACATTTGATTTGGATGTCTGGTGCAATTTTATGGAAAAACAGCTATTGTATTTCTCTTTCCCCTCTCTGTAGAGGTTTAATCACTGCTATCATACAGTTTGCCCAGCAAGAAGAATGGAATCTGTTATGTGACACACTTGCTTCTAGACTCATGGCTGCTGGTAATACACTTGCTGCTACGCTTTGTTATATATGTGCTGGAAATATTGACAGAACAGTGGAAATATGGTCAAAGAGTCTTTCAACCGAACATGATGGGAAATCATATGTGGACCTTCTTCAGGTGTGCTTCCTTGTAAGGTTTATTAGATCGCAGATTATGTTGGAAGGAAAATTGACTTTTATTTTTATTTTTATTCTTTTTGGAAGGATTTAATGGAAAAGACAATTGTCTTCGCTTTGGCAACTGGGCAGAAGAGATTCAGTGCTTCTTTGTGCAAACTAGTTGAGAAATATGCTGAAATATTAGCAAGTCAAGGGCTTTTAACTACAGCAATGGAGTACTTGAAGCTTTTTGGGACTGAAGAATTGTCTCCTGAACTTGCAATCTTGCGAGATCGTATTGCTCTCTCCACTGAATCTGGTTTGTTCCCACTTTCTGAGAGCTCGTTTTATGTTGCCTTCAACATTTGGATCCAGACAATGATATTTAAATTATTTTACAGACAAAGAGGTTGAGAAGCCTGTGGCTTATGAGAACTCTCAGTCGCAAACAGGGCTTGCATATAATACTGTTGATCAATTGAGTTATGGCGTTGCTGATACCTCTCAACTTTATTATCAGGTAAATATTTACTGTTCTGCAACATATTGTGATCATGCCACTTTTTGAAGTATCTGATATTTATTTATATTCTTATCATCTCTCAGGAAACAGCACCATCTCCAATGCAGCCAAGTGTTCCAAACAGTCCCTATGGTGAAAATTATCAGCAGTCATTTGCTCCTACAATTGGGAGGGGATACAGTGCTCCTTTCCCATATCAACCTTCTCCACAAAATATACAACAGCCCAGCATGTTTGTTCCAACCCAGACGCCTGAAGTCCCCACAGTAATTGCCCACACGGTTTAATTTTTATTTTGGATATTGAGTTAAAGATGCTAAGTTAGACTAGTAATGGCTACATTTGATCTGATAGTAATTAAATTAAGATTTCATTTGCAAAACTTCTGCAGGGAAATTTTCCTCCACCGCCTGCTGCTACTCAGCCTGCTTTGAAACCATTTGTTCCTACAAATCCCCCTCCATTAAGAAATTTTGAGCAATATCAACAGCCAACAACATTGGGTTCACAATTATATCCTGTATGCTATCCCTTTTCTGTTAATTATCTTCTCATACAAGATATCATGCTAAAATTTTTCTTTTTCATTTAGGGGGGTGTTAATCCTAGTTATCAAGCTGGACCACCTGGTGTGGCTGCATATGGTGCTAACACATCTCAGGCTGTGCCAACTCCAGGACAAAAGATGCCCCAGGTTGTGGCTCCTCCCTCATCTAGAGGATTCATGCCAGTTACTAATTCAGGGGTTCAAGGACTTGGGATGAATCCAGTACAACCACCTAGTCCTACTCAATCTGTTCCAGTACAACAACCTGTAGCTCCTGCTGCTCCCCCGCCCACAGTTCAGACAGTTGATACTTCAAATGTACCTGGTAAACTTCTGCTTTTGTTTCCTCTGTATTGGATTTAGTAAATAATTTTGAAGAAGCAGATAGCCCTGTACTTCGCATGGTTGATTTATTGTTTTGTGATCTGACAATGTACTTCTGTAAAACGGTTCTCTCTTTTGAAAGGCCAAATAAGAAAATAATTAACAAATGATATGACAAAGCACTTCCAATGATTTTTGTTCACATTCCCATGCAATATTATGCCCCTGTTTGGTTTGGATAAAAATTAGATTTTTAATAGATTTTGATAAAATTTGATAAAACATGTGGTTAAAAAGTTGATAAAAGTTGTGGACTCATGAAATGTATATTTGAAAATGTTCGTGAAAAAAATGAGTTTTAATAAATGGGGGCCAAATAGGGGCTACATCTATTATTATAAATGATAAAATCTGAATTTAATTGAACTTCTTTCCGAATTATGGTACATCGAATATTCGGTAAATCTCAGGATAAACACTCAGGATGTTGAGAAGCAATTTTTATTTTTGTTCATATCCATGCAAGAACTCATTTTATAGGTACCCTGAACTTCTCCTGGGTAAATTAATAATTAACAGTGGTATTTTTAATTTTTGTGATACATCCTATCATGTTATCATGTCTCCTTGGCTATAAGATATTGGTATTTGCAACGATAAAAAGTGTACCTTGTTTTCTGAATTACGGGCTCTCTGCACTTTACAGAAAGCATTGTGACGTTTGACTTTCTTTCTGGCGTTTGAGTCTGGAATTCGTTTGCAAGTGTACTTATATACCAATAATTGTATCACTCCCAAAGTTTAGGTATTTCTGTGGTATTGTGGGAATGGCGTGAAATTCTATTTTGACTTCCTAAGTGAATATTGGTTCCCCAGGGTCTTAAGTAATTATAATTAGATAAGGTTTTGGGTGTTTGAGGGTTCCATTTCTCTACAAATACCGTAGTCTGAGAATAGATATAATACTATAATACTATTAGGCATCTAACATTTAATTGTTCCTGCAATTTATTGTTCTTACGAAACTAAAAAGAAATCAATAAAATTGAGGTATTTTTGGAGAATCATTTTAGCTATCTAACATGATAGCTTCTTCGATGTTATATGCTACAGCACAGCAGAAGCCTGTTATTGCAACTTTAACAAGACTTTTCAATGAGACATCTGAAGCATTGGGAGGATCACGAGCTAATCCAGCTAAGAAAAGGGAAATTGAGGACAACTCGAAGAAGTTAGGTGCCTTGTTTGCGAAACTCAACAGTGGAGACATTTCTAAAAATGCTGCTGAAAGGCTTGTACAACTCTGTCAGGCTTTGGACAATGGTGATTTTAGTACTGCCCTTCAGATCCAGGTACCTGCAAAACCTTCGAGAACTTTTTCTTTCTTTTTTCATTTTTCTTTCACTTCGCGTGTGCAGTGGATTGCAACTTTTTACGTGTTAATTGTGGTATAGGTACTTCTCACTACTAGCGATTGGGATGAATGCAGCTTCTGGCTCGCAACTCTCAAACGAATGATCAAGACAAGGCAGAACTTGAGATAATTATCTGCCATACTCCACGCAAACGTTCAAATTCCGATTTGGCAATCCTTTTAGATGTGGAATCATGTCAAATTGATCCTTTGTACACAAGAAGTGACATCTTTAGATACCATGCCAGGTTTTTGTTTCATTTTTATGCTAGTTTCTTTGCCCCGTGATCTCTTTTGGCTTTTCAGTCTTGGGATTTTTGAGAGCAGTTGGAGACAAGATCCAGGACATCAATAGAGCTGCTGGTTGTTTTTACATAATATATGTAGGCTTGAAATATAGATATGTTTTCTGATAGACTATCACTTGTAGCTTTTTCCAAAGTGAATTTTACCTGCGTTGAATTGTATGGCTTACCAAAATATAGCTCATCTTATGTGAGGAGCCCATTAGCTTGTACTCTGGTCAATGATTAATCAATACATTTTTTCTTGGGTTTCTTGATATGATGGTTTAACATTATGATAAAACTATTGTTCATTGATATTGGGACTTTTGTATTGTCATGTTTACCAAGGTGGAAACAAACTTGTTCTTACACAGCTCTTTCCAGAGGCAGTCATGGAGGGTATACGAAGCTGTATTCCATAGTTGCCATCGAGAAACCCTCTGGAACTGCCGTAAAAGTGTCCATTTCTGACAACTCAAATGGTGTTGAAAATGAAACAGGCAGTTGTCAAATCTTAAAAGCCTATGAATAGGGAACCTTGTTGGATTCACCAACGATGACTCGAGGGGACTGATGTTTTGCACCTCCAATAAATGGCCTCCCAAACCGTGAGATAGCATATTGACACACTCCAATCCTTGAGTTCGCCGGTGATAATTTTCTGAATAATGGAAGAAGGGGCTCATTAATTTAGAATCGGTTCCTCTGTTTCCATATCCAGATTTGAATTTGAAACCAGAGATGAGCCGATTCCAGATAGAGAACTCGGGTACTTTATACTTTGCCCGAGTCGATTTTCTGGACCCTTCTCTAATAAATTCCAAGTCCCAGGCAAAATCACCAGCAGCACTTTGTAGGGTATCGAGCAGAGACAATGCAATACTACCTGGTTTTGTATCCACTCTCGTAGTAAAAAATTCACAACCTGTTCATATAAACTAGTCAGATGGAAAGTACACTGGGGTAGAACTAGAAAAAATAAACCTAAATTTCATTCAAAATCAATTTAAAAAGCAAAAGCCAGGCAGTTTCTTTTCAAGTAAGATACTCTTAGAAGTGAAGCGTTGCACTCAGATCTCCGAAACAGATTTAGCGATAGATATGCAGCACTGGACCAAGGGAGGTTGCTTCCACTAACCTTGTGGCCAATAACTGGGAAAATCACGAGTGTATACCAGAATCAAGTTATCACATGAGTGCAAATATCTATCACTTATGCAGGGACAACATGCATTTTGATAATACATGCTATATTTCATCTCGAGGGTACGAAGCCGGACATGTGAAAATAGTTATATTTGGTAAAAAATACATAACGTAAAGGAAACTTCTCAATTAGGTCTATATATTCTCCTGCATCAACAACAAAAAACTAAACTTTACTCCCAATAAAAATGAGGTCAGCTGCATGAATCCTTCATCATCGCATAAATACATTAGTAAAAGAAGTGTTATCTGGGAGTATACGGGAAGTCACCTTATCAACCTCCTTAGTCGAATGATCTACATAGACTTGGTTGAGTATTTGCTTTTGCTTTATACTTCTTGGATCACTAATTTTCTGCCATCTAGAATGAAACATCAGTACAAAAATAAGCAAGTTCACAAAATAATTGGGAAGACACCAATGGGTTTTGAGAGGTAAGACCATAATGAAAGATAAAAATCAAACTTCAACAGTATCTCAACATTCCATAAGTCTTTTTTCATTTAGAAGTTAGATCATAAATTTTGAACTGCAATTTACAAGGATTTTGTTTAAAGGAATTCTAATCACTGGAAGAGATGTGCATCCAGATGGTAAAAGAGGGGAGTAATGCCCTTAAAAAACAAAGGATTCACAGTTCACAAGATATGGAAGGCATATACCAATACATAAATAAGTGTTGAACTATTTGATCTAAAAGTTTAGAAGCTAAGAGTTGGGTTTCCATCTTAATAGATCAACTTTGTTAGCCTAAACAATTACATGTTAGTTATTTATTTCATCTATATTCAATATAGGATTTATCCATTTACATGCCCCCAAGATGGTGGCTCATTTGAGAACACAAATCTTTGAATCCCTTTTTTTGAGTCTTAGTAGGATCAAATTATTTATTTGAACCGAACGGGCTCTGTTACCATGTTAAATTATTTGTTCTAATACCAAAGTCCATTCTACATTGTATTCTAAGTTAAAACAAATTGGATGAGTTACATTAGAAGCCGATAATGGGTACTAATTTCATGCTTGGTCTCTAATGGATGAGTTTATGATGTAGGGCAGAAGCGATAGAAATAATAAACGAATACACAGTCGAAGTTCCGTTGATTTCCAACAAATAGCGCAACATGATCACTTTATAGTTTCTGTTTATTCCTAATAATACCAGATTTTATCGAAACTCTTTGATTCACACATGAATATGGAGAAATTAGACTCGTTGATTTTAAATATCAGATACCGAGAATTTAAGAGATTGAAAATTTTCGAACTATATTATATTCATTCAAAAATCACTTTTAAGGCTTACAACCCTTGTTGAAGCAATAACAAAAACTAGATAAAAAACTAAAATCTAGACGGATAAAAGACTAAATCTAGATAATTGTGAAAATTAAAAGATAATGAAGAATTTAAAATTTCGAATTTTCAGAATTAATCTGAAATAAACGGAATTAATATTTATTTAATAAAATACTAACTAAAAGATAATTAAAAACTCAGTCATCATCATTTTTGTTGGCATCATCGACTTCATCGTCCCAAAACAGTAATTTTGGAATGTGTGCAATTTTATGTTCATCTTCACCAGACAGTTTCTCAATAAACTGTGGGCTCATGTAGAAAAGTTTAAGGACTTCCATCTTGGTAAGGCGTTCAATTCCAGATGGAACACTTTCCAGATATTTGCACCGCTGAATCTTTATCCTTTTCAGATTTGGCATTGCTCCCTCCTCAATTATCACCTGTCTTAAAGGTTCAAACGTGTCAAGATATAACTTTTGAAGACTTTGAAACTTTCCCGCCTTGAAACAAAGTTCTTCACCAACGTATCCATCAAGAAGTTCAAGACGGACTAAGCATGGCAAATCTTGGAGATACTGGAGTGGATCATCTCTTAACTGACTCCACCTGAAGTAAACTATAACCAAGTTGTTGAGAGATTTTATCCAATATGGAAAGTTTTCTAAACGTCCTGACACAGAGAGCTCCTGAAGGGATGCAGGAGGGGATAAAATGTGATGCAGGTCCAGGATCTCATTTTCTGCTTTTGAAAACAAGGCTAATGATTGAAGATTTTGGAGCTTTTCAATGGACGAACACACCATCACTCCATCCTCTCTTCCCAATTTGAATATGAAAAGCCTTCTCAGTTCCTTCATGTTCTCTAGCTCTTTTATTGTGCCAGGGATTGCCTCAACGAAAGAGAGTTGGTATAAAGACTTCAGAGCTCCAATTCCATTTGGTAGCTTGAAACCAAGAACATTGTTGATTTGAACATATGAATGTGCAACATAGCCTACATAGCGACATATTATGAGATGTCTCAGTTTTTGGAGTTGTAAGATCTCTATGGGCAACTCAGTGACAAGTGAGTGTTTAAGATCTAACGTCTCTAGTTCTTGAAGCTTCTTGATTGATCTCGGAAGTGATTCAATTTTTGTATGCCTCAAAGATAGATATTTCAGAAGTCGGAGCTTGGTGATTACCTCTGGGAATGATTTTAGAGGTAATCCTGACAGGTCTAGAACTTTAAGCACCCTACAACTCTTAAGCAGCTCAAGTACTGATGACGAATCGGTCGCACCAAATGCAAGCAAAGAACGGAGTTTTTTGCCTGACCTATGAGGATTAAAGTTTTCCCAAGGGCCATGTATTGATAAGCGACGAGCTTCATCGTTCCATTGATCATTGGAATTTTTGCCGACTGTCATCAAGAAACTCTGACGTTTTGCTTTTCTTAGAAGATTCTCCCTGAGAAAATAATGTATGCGGCAAGATTTTATGTCTCCATTCTCTTTACACTTTACCACTTGGATCAAGTTTTTGTTGGCAAGCTCCATCAGGTAGCCTTGAGCAACTTGTTCCGCTGTTCGTCCTTCTTTTTCATCCACGAAACCTTCCATTATCCATAGGCGAATCAGGGAGTTACACTTTATCAAGTGATATTCTGGATATACGGCCATATATAACAAACAGTATTTTAGAGGGTAAGACAAATCATTGAAGCTAAGCAACAAGATCACATTCAAACTCCTATTATCCCTTTCTAGTTCAGACCCAAGGCTCCGATTAAGCATCTCCCATTCGTCCAATCTGTTGCTCTTTGTGGCCAGAAATCCACCAACAGACTTGATGGCAAGCGGCACCCCTGCGCATCTCTCTAAGATTTTATTAGTAATTTCCTCAAGATAGGAAGGACACGGAACCCCTCGAAACGTCTTTAGACAAAACAGTGTCAAAGATTGCTTTGGAGTAAGGGGCTTCAACGTATATACATTCTCCTTAATTCCCATACTAGAATGGGAAGCTACAGCATTATCACGTGTTGTTACAATTAATCGACTACCAGAAGAGTTGTTAGGAAATGCACATTTAATAGCGTCCCATTCTAGGGTTTGCCGTAAATCATCAAACACAATCACATACCTTTTTTCTTGTAAAAATTGTTTAATCACTTCCTTCAGCTGACTATTATTCATGGTGTTCATTCCTTCAGGGAATTCTTCCTTGGTTTCACGAAAGAGTTGCCGAATCAAGTCCTTTAGGATCTCCTCCATAATGATTAGCCGAGGGACAGTTATCCAAGCGTGACTTAGGAATTGCTTCTTCACTGCTGCATCATCATACACTTTCCTAACAAGAGCTGATTTCCCCACACCTGCCGTCCCTGTCACTGAAATTACACTCAGTCCGGAACCATTTTCCATGAGCAATCTCATTAACTCGCTTTTGGATCTTTGAATTCCTACAAGATTGACTTCTTCTTCCAAAAGGGCATCACCTCTAATATCATTTGCAAAGTCAAAGCTGGTGTCAACATGTGAATTTGAACCTCCTGCAGGGTTAAGATATCTCTGATGTCCATCTGCAATACTTTTGACACGAGTATTAATGTTTTTGATTTCAGAAACAAGCCCAGAATGGAATCTTAAATTTACGATGCAATTTAAAAAATTATAAAGAACGGTACTGGACCACCCACTGCCCTGATGATTCTTCATCAAGCCGAGTACAAATTTGTCGAGAACATCTTCAGTGTCATGTGCAACTTGGCGAACTTGGTTAACCCAATTTGTCATCCCCGTGTCACTATTCTCCATGACACTGTCAGCATCTTTGAGAAATGCTGTCATTCGATCCAACTCATCTCTGATGTTCTCCACATCGGTCTCAACTCCTCCCACCTCTCTCAGCTTTTCACATAGTTTTGGTGTAATATTTTGAACTACAAAAGAAATTACTACGTCGGCCATTTCACTTCTTTTTATCAAATTTTCTATTTTGCAAGTTGTGCTAGCAGATTAATGGTCCTTACAGCATTTATAAACTTCATCAAGTCAGAAGAAATGGCAGGAACGCAACTAGTTGATGATTTCCTTGGCATTGAAAGCTGGTATCCCATTAAGGAGACAAGGAGAGAATCCATAGAGATTAAAGATGTTCTTAGATATTCTTAGAATCTGGTACCCAAGAAAAGACATAATTTGGTCAATTGAAAGCATTCAAATAATGCAAAGTGAAGATTAGAAATTGAAAAGCTGTGGAATTTGGAATTAGCATTTGATTTTAAAGTATTCTTTTTACACACTATCATAGCATTTAAGTATAACTTTAATCAAAAGTGAAGATTTGTTTAGAATAGATGTCAATAAAAAATTAGCATAACATTTTAAAGTATTCACGTATACTCTATCATAGAATTTTAACTTACATCAAAAGTGAAGATTTGTTTAGAATAGACGTCAATTAAAAAATTAACATAACATTCTAAAGTATTCTCATATACCCAACCATAGAATTTAAATATAACTTTAACCAAAAGTGAATATTTATGTAGAATAGACGCAAATAAAAAAATTAACATCACATTCTAAAGTATTCTCATATGCACTACCATATAATTTAAGTATAACTTTAATCAAAAGTGAAGATTTGATTAGATAGACGCAAATTAAAATTTAGCATCGCACTTTAAGGTATTCCCATACACCCTACCATAGACTTTAAATATAACTTTGATCAAAAGTGAGATTTGCTTAGAATAGATGCAAATTAAAAAATTAGCATCACATATTAAAGTATTCTTGTATACCCCACTATAAAATTTAAGGGTGTGTTTGAGTCACATTATTTTGGAAAAATGTATTTTGAAATAGTAGATTGATGGAGAATGTGTGTTTTAAAAAGAAGAAAAAATTATTGATGTGATGGAAATTATTATTTTATTTTATTAACGAANATGTAAAATATTATTTTATTGAAGAATATGTGGTTGAATATGAGTATAAAAATGAGAATGAGAATTTTAATATGGCTCAAACTGGGGCTAAGTGTTACGGATCACAAGGTAATGACTTGAGATTTAGCATGACACGGGAATGCCATGACACTAAGTGGGAAAATGAAGTAGACCTATGGTTAATTCGGTCTAAACTTTAGCTGTACATGGCGATGAGGGCGTCGCCTAATTTGGTGGGGAGATGATTGATGTCCATGGTCGCAGCGTCATGTCCAAGTTGCGGCTAGGAAATTCGGATGTGCATGCAGGCACTGCGACATGGCAGCAACGCATGCAGACATCGCAGGCAGATTGCAGACAGCACACATGACGCAGTCGGGGCATGGAAGGACACAGATTACAATCATGGCACGACGCCGACAGCACACATCAAGGCACAGGCTGCAGGCTGCAAGCATGAACAGTTTTCCCAACACTGCATTTTGGTTTCTAAGGCAGAATACTACCATACTAGTAGAAGAAATACCATGGAATGCCGCTAGATATTTTGGGGATGCAACTTGTCCAACTTGTGCCACTTGCACGATAATGTCAAGGAAGAAGCAAAGATCAATTTAGCCACTATGAAAGGGACATGTCCACATGTGGGTTGTAAATTCCAACTTTGCTTCCTTATGGTCTTAGAAGGTTTATGCCACTTGCATCTAATGAGGACCCTTAGATGGAGATTAATCTTAGCCATTAATTTCAAGGCAACTTGCAAGGTTTTTGCCTAGAGATGTAGTCTCATTTGTAATTTTATTCATTGAAGTGAACTTATTTATATACAAAGAGAGTTTTCCCAACCTTACTTGTTTTCTATATTTTCCTTACTTCAAATCCTCTACTCAAAGGTATTGTAATTTAGCCTAATTGGTTAAATTATTTGCGAGTGTTGAAAGTCTGACTTAATGTTTTCTCGAGAGAGTTGGGAATTTGGAACGTTAAGACTGTACGATTTCTAGTTGTTCGAGTGTAACAAAACTAGTCCTGTGAAAGGTGGTATCAGAGCCTCGTTTGTAGGCCTTTATAATGGCGGATTCTCAACAAACTATTGATATTGAGATTGAGGAAAGGGGTCGTACTGCTGCCCCAATTGAAGCAAAGAAAACACGAAGCTAAAGTAAGACTCGGGAAGCAATTGCCATGGAGGGTAAACTTGACCAAATCATCGTAAATATGGGTGATCGGGTTGAATCTCTAGAAAACTCCTTGGAGGCATTGGAGGCACGTGCCATTAGAAAGTTAGAAACTCTCCAAACTAAGGCCCAAGAGGTGATGGACGTGCAAGCATAGTTGGAAAATGATGTCGAAACGATGAAAGATGATGTCCGAGCTGTGGTAGCACGACAAGCCGCGATGACAGAAGATTTTGGTAGACTCCAAACCAAAGTCTTAGATGCCATGTCCGCCATACAAGGTCAAGGATACCAATCGGCCGTGAAGATGGAAAGAATGAGCAAGGAGCTAGAGCAACACAAACAAACAAACTATCGCTAGTTCAAGCGGAGGTGCCGCTACTAGTATTGTAGCCCCAAGGATCGAGTACCCAAAGTCTAAAAATTATGATGGACGACGGGATTCCAAAGACGTGGAAAACTTCCTATGGGAAATGGAAGTTTATTTTGAGGGCGTAAATCTTGTTGATGAAGCCATGAGGGTGCGGATCGCTTGAATGTATTTCTCGGATATTGCAACGTCGCGGAGTCAAAATCATAGACGAAGATATTACGGTAGCCGAATCCTTGACCGAGTTTGAGGAAAGTGTCGAGTCCGAATTGAAAACCATCAAACCCGCTAAAGGGAATTTTGGCCAGCGTGGTGAAGACTCCAGGAAGGCCATGCAAGGAGGTAAGACGAAATGGAGGAAAAATTCTAAAGCTGATTATAGACCCAGCGACAACACCCAAGCTTCTTGGAGAAAGGAGTATGATGAAAGAAAGAGGGACAATTTTACACCTCGTAGTTGCTTTGTTTGTAAAGGATTGCATCTTATGAGGGATTGTCCTAAGCGAGATCATTGGCATCCATCTCGGCGAGCAAACCGGAGGTAGCAGATAGCAAAGATGGGGATGCAGTTCAGATGAATTCATTCTAGTTGTTTAACGCTATAAGTACCGAAACCATTTTCGTAGGGACAGAAACGCAGCAACTTTCAGGGATGAAGTTAATTGAAGTCCTTGAGGATGATAAGGACGTGATGCCCGCGGAGTTAACAAGGGAACTATCGAAGAAGGAAATTGATGAATCATTGTCAAAGATTCAGAAAATGGGAGCATTGATGTTTAAATATTCGACAAGCGTAGGTACGCTATGATTGGACGATTTGTCCATGCAGAGGGAGAAGGTTGGTGTCGAACGTGGCATGTAAGAGGTTGCAACGAAAAGAGGTGTAAGGGGCACTGTGGACACCAGTCCATTAAGGGGATGGTGCCGCAAGTAGGAAGAACATTTAAGCATATTGACGGGGAGGACAATGCAAGGCTTAAGTCGCATGATGATGTGCCGAGCACGTTCCGCTACTAGGACGTTAGCGAATTAGGTGGGGGAGAGTGTTACGGATCACAAGGTAATGACTTGAGATTTAGCATGGCACGGAAATGTCATGGCACTAAGTGGGAAAATGAAGTAGACCTATGGTTAATTCGGTCTAAACTTCAGCGGTACATGGCGATGAGGGCGTCACCTAATTTGGTGAGGAGATGACTGATATCCATGGTCGCAGCGTCAGGTCCACGTTGCGGCTAGGAAATTCGGGTGTGCATGCAGGCACTGCGACATGGCAGCAACGCAGGTAGATATCGCAGGCAGCACATAGGACACAGTCAGGGCCTGACAGGACACAGACTGCAGTCACAACACAACACATGTAGCTCACAATAAGACACAGGCTGCAGGCTGCAAGCATGGGTAGTTTTCCCAGCACTGCAGGTTGGTTTTATAAGGCAGAATACTGCCATACCAGCAGGAGAAATACCATGGGTTGCCGCTAGATATTTTGGGGATGCAACTTGTCCAACTTGTGCCACTTGCAAGATAATGCCACAGAAGAAGCAAATACCAATTTGGCCATTATGAAAGGGACATGTCCACATGTGGGTTGTAGAGACATGTCCACTTGCAATGAAGCAAATTCCAACTTTACTTCCTTATGGTCTTAGGAGGTTTATGCCACTTGCATCCAATGAGGACCCTTGGATGAAAATAAAAAAAACATAAGCGACAAAAACTTGCAAGATTTTTGCCTATAAATAGAGATGTAGTCTCATTTGTAATTCAGTTCATTGAAGTGAAGTTATTTATATACAAAGATAGTTTTCCCAACCTTACTTGTTTTCCATATTTTCCTTACTTTAAATCATCTACTCAAAGTTATTGTAATTTAGCATAGTTGGTTAAATTATTTGTGAATGTTGAAAGACTGACTTAACGTTTTCTTGAGAGGGTCGAAAATTTGGAACGTTAAGGTCGCACGGTTTCTAGTTGTTCGAGTGTAACAAAACTAGTCCCGTGACATAAGTATAACTTGAATCAATAGTAAAGATTTGCTTAGAATAGG